TTTTCGCAAAGCGTACATGTTTCAAATCTAAAAAAGAAAGCATCAATTAGGCATCAGGAATTATAGGAGAAAACAGAAACTTTCTTTATACAGGTTTTTTTCCTAGAAAGCAACTTTGCAGACACAGACAATTACAAATAGAGAAAAACATCGCTGATCCTGTATAACAGGATAAAACTCTTTTCCTATCTGACTACTCTTTATTTAAAGGTTATCTGAAATACAAAAAACAACAGAACAAAAGAGACAAAAACAAAACCCCATGTATTTACATTGTCTGTTATTTGTTTACTAATAGACTAATACTAATAGACTGTTCATCTTTCAAGATACTTCATACTGTCTCTTTTATTTCTTCTTCTTCTTCTATGTGCATATCCAAATGATCTTCACAAAACCACGTAGTTGAGTCAACTGGAATTGATAAAAGGATCCGACAAACATTACAAAGCCACCTGGAGCAGTTGTCTTCATGTTCCACCCAATCATTAAAGTCATTTTGATGACAGCATTGGATGGCATCTTCTTGAAGTGGATCATTGGATGATATTGTTCGTTTACAACCATTTGCACATTTTACGGCTGTCGACCTTGGTTTTTTTGGTTTACTTGACTGACCACTATAAATCATGGATATTCTTGTTCGTTTTCTTGATTTGACCGTAGGGCGAATTTGTCGAGTTGGTTCATAATCCTGTGGTACATCTATAATCAGCTTTGTTCTTCTCCATCGACGATTTGCTTCTGGATCATTCCATAAATTGAATGCGTTTTCAATAACTCGATGACAGTTTACACTAAAGAAAAGAAACAATAGGAACAGAAGTGTTTCCTAGATGTTCAATTGCTTACCTTCTTATATCATCTGGTAATAATAATCGTACACTTAATAAACAATCTAATGTATCTATCATTATTCTTGAACGACCATCCGTTTGTATTCGATTTGATGCACTGTAACCGCGTTCACATTCAGCTGAATTTGTCGGAGAGATTAGATACACGTTTAACAATAACAGAATATTTTTATAATCTAGATCAAATGTGCCATTTATTGTCCGTTGTAATTCGACAAATGACTTCCAAAATAACTTCTTCAAATGTTTGTTACCATCAATATCCATAAAGCGTAATAAT